TAGACTTTATGGTGATTTTCTCTTAGTATAATTTCATGGCTCTTTTGGTTCTTTGATAAGGATCCTTTTGAATCCTTTATTCAAAAATTTCTGTGCTTTTTCTGGCCTTTAAGTGCAGCAATGGTGAGCATTTCAATATTGGAACTTTAAAAGTAGAGGAGGACTTGATGAAAGGGCTGGGTTTCATGATCATGAGCAGTTAAAAAAACCCCACAAACCAAAAAATCCACGAGGTGCTGTAATGCATCTGGCTGTCTTTCTTCCTAATAGTTAAAAACTGTGAAAGCATGAACATTTCCTATATTTTCAACAATTTAGAGGTTAAGAGAACAAATTAAATTTCCTCAAGTTGTGTGACTACTTTTTGATCCACTTTATTCACAATGTAGCTTTTTGATTTATTTTTTTTTGGTCCTGTTTTGAAGGTAAATCCCAAGGATTTAGATTCAAAATATGCATATATTCAAGTTACACACGTAATTCCATACTTTGAAGAAAAGGAGCTGCAGGAAAGAAAAACAGATTTTGAAAGGACTCACAACATTCGTCGCTTTATGTTTGAGATGCCTTTTACTCAGGGTGGCAAAAGGCAAGGAGGAGTAGAGGAACAGTGTAAGCGACGGACTATTTTGACAGGTACTGATGGAATGGAATGCTTTGACTGGAAGCATTAGTTCAAATGGTCTAATTTTGTCCTGTGTGGGTTTTTTTCATTTCACCGTACTTAGTTCTTTATAGCAATCAGCTGAAATACTTTTCATATTTTTGGCCACAGTTAAGTTTTTCAAATTGATTTATCTTCAGTGGGGAATCCTCAAAATTATTATCTCTTTTTCCTTAAGCTTCCAGAATTCTGAATCTGGAGTCTGGCTTTCCTTTTTCTTGTGTTTTGTCTCTGTTAAGTACGAGTTTCTGTATTAATACACTTGTGAAAACAAGTAAGTGACTTTATAATAATAAAGTGATTTTACAATAATAAGTGACTTGGTAGGTGTCTATAGCCAGTACTTGTGAAGAAATAGAAAATACAGTTTCGCTATTTTTGATTCTGCTCTTCGAGATCTGTGAATGTCAAACAATCCTTTTCACACTTATCATATAAATTCAGTGGTTTGTTTTTTTGGTGGTTGTTAGTAGCAGTAATGACAGTGGTCTTTCTTTGCTGAGATGCATGTAAGGCTGTGCATATTTGCATTTCAGGGTCTTGTTTCCTTGTCCATTTGGTAGTATTCTAATTACATAAGTTATTAAATTGGGCAGCTAATTACATCAAAATGAGATTGTAGCAGAAGATTCTCTCAAAGCACACCTTATTAAAAATCTTTTCCTGACAGTGTTAAACTTGTTTCTGTCCACAGCTATACATTGTTTCCCATATGTGAAAAAACGCATTCCAGTGATGTACCAGCACCACACTGATTTAAACCCAATTGAAGTAGCAATTGATGAAATGAGTAAAAAAGTTGCAGAGCTTAGGCAGCTTTGCTCTTCAGCTGAAGTAGATATGATCAAATTGCAGCTGAAGCTACAAGGAAGTGTCAGTGTTCAGGTAAGACCTTTGCCATGCAGCTGTTTCATTTGCTTCTGCCCTTGAAAAATTATATAAGTAGCATTTTATAATTCATTTCTATTCTGTACATTCAAGAGTGTCCTAAATTAGAAATATGCTCACTGTCTGTAGTTATTTCCTGAACGGGAAAAGCAATAAAAGTATTTCATATAAATAGCTGGTCAGAGACAGTTACATAAAAAAAAGTAAGATTCCTCTCTGGAATATGTTGCATTCCAATTCCCACCAGATTTTGGCATAAAGCTGAAACTGCTAGAAGATAATAGATGAACCTGAAGATAAATCAGCATATTTTGCCTAGCTGTAGGTCTGCCCACAGTAGGTCTAGCATACTGTTGTAAGAACCCTATGGAGGTAAAGAGTGAGTGATAATTTGTAGGAAGAAGAAAATCATAGACAATCTCATTGTGCATGCCTT